CTTTGTTGGGTAAAGTAGTCTGGCTGGCATCTATGGTCCTTTAGTGTCTGTATAATGTCTGTCCAGGACCTTCTGGCTTTCATTGTTTCCACTGAGAAGTCAGGTGTAACTCTGATAGATCTGCCTTTATATGTTACCTGGCCTTTCTCCTTTGCAACTCTTCTTTATTCTGTATGTTTATTGTTTTGACTATTATGTTGTTAGGGGACATTTTTTTTTTTTGTTCAGTCTATTTGGTGTTCTGTAAGTTTCTTGTACTATCATAGGCATGTTGTTCTTTAGGTTGAGAAAGTTGGAATCTTTCTATCCAACTTCTATGATTTTGTTGAATATATTTTCTGTGCCTTTGAGTTGGACTTCTTCTTCTATCCTATTATTCTTAGGTTCAGTCTTTTCATAATGTTCCAGATTTCCTGCATGGTTTGTGTTAAGGATTTGTTGGATTTAAATTTTTCTTTGACCTATGTAATCTATTTCCTCTATTGTATCTTCATTGCCTGAAATTCTCACTTCTATCTCTTGTGTTCTGTGGTTTATTCTTGCATTTGTGGTTCCTGATCATTTGCCCAGATTTTTCATTTCAGAATTCCCTCGGTTTGTGTTTTCTTTATTGCCTCTATCTCAGATTTTGAGTCTTCCTTTACTTGTTTGATTGCTTTTTCTTGTTTTTCTTTAAGGGAGTTGTCGATTTCTTCCAATTTTTTGTTTGTCTTTTCCTTTATTTCTTTAAGGGAATCTTTCATTTCCTTTTTTAAGGGCCTCAATGATCCTCATAAAATTGTTCTTTAGGTCATTTTCTTCTGCTTCATCTGTGTTGGGATGTTCAGGTCTTGCTGTTGTTGCACCACTAGTTTCTAGTGGTGCCGTATTGCTCTTTATATTGTTTAGTGAGTTCTTACCTTGTTGTCTATGCATCTCTTCCTCTGATTGGTATAGGTGGAGCTTGTGCTTCAGGGGGGTCTCTCTTTCTTCAATTGATATAGTTGGGGGCTGTGACTCCATTGACCATTCCTTGAGGAGCAAGCAGATAAAGTTTCCGGTGGAAGTGGGTCCAACCTCTAGGTGTAGGTGGGGCTGAGGCTCCAGTGGGAGCTGTAGTAGTGACTATCTCCAACTGAGAAATGCAGTGGATTCTGGCTGGGACACAGGTGTTCTTCCCTAGAGGAACATCATGTGATAGCTTTCTGGAAGCCACTGCTGGAAACTGCTGCTGTCATCTTGCCTTCTGCTCCTGGGCCTGAGGCGTAGGCCTCCCTCTGATGCTGCTACTGGGCCTAAGGCTCAGACTTCCTGGGCCCTCTGATGCTGCTTCTGGGTTGGGGTTCAGGCCTCCCTCTGGACTTTTTTCTTTTTAAATCAGGGGTCTCCTGTAGCATGAGCTGGCCTGTAACTCTATATAGCAAAGGATGACCCTGAACCACTGATTTTTCCTGATTTCAGATCCTAGTTACTGGGATTACTATGCCCAGGTTTCTATAGCCCTGGGAACCCTGTAAATAGAGATTTACCATGTAGGTTCCCTTGTGTGCTCTGTAAGGCTGACTACTGCAGGACTGCCAGGGCTGTATGATTCAGTGGGGCTCACTCCAGGCATTCCCAAAACAGCCTGTATAGACAGATCTTGTCCTTTACTGCTGGTCCCTGGAGGAAGTCAGGAAGGGAGGGGATACAGGCATCAGGCAATGTACAAGCTTTGGAGCTGTGGTAGTGACCAAGATGGGCATAGTCACTGACCCCTTGTTGCTGACTGTGTAGGGTAAGGGCCTGAAAACAGGGCTTAAGGAAATAGGAGGCAGAGATAGAGATCAGGGTGGGGGAAAGTGAAGTTTGCAGAGGGTCCTGTGAAAGGAGCCTGTTCTGGATGGGGGCAGGGCTCTTTGAGCAAGTGCTAATTTCAGCCTGAAGGACAGGATGAGCTTGTCAAGGGAAGCAAAGTGTCAGCACAGGAAGCATTGGAATGCAGGGAAGGAACCAGCACAGGGAGTGATGACTCAGGCCTGTAATCTCATCATTTGGGAGGTGGAAGCAGACGAATATGGAGTTCAAGGTCATCTTTGGCTACATATTTCATTTCAGGTTAGACCCCTGGGATACATACAACCCTCTCCAAAAACCAAAACCCAAACCAAGATATTTGGAAAGTCCCAAGTGTCCCTATTATTTCAGGTGGGAAAATGTGGTTGTATGGATTCCCACTGAGTGGGGAGTTTCATGTCTAACAGGAGGAAACATTGGTCCATGAAGTTGGCTATTCTTTGACTTGTCTCAAGAGGGAGAAGCTCAAAATTAGGAATCACCTGAAACCCAGCTGTTTAGATGCTTAGCATCTTTCTGCGAACTTAGCTTTCTTCATCCTCCCAGATGACTGAGTTGAAGAAACAGCTTTCCCAGTAATAATACTAAGGAAAGTTATGTGATCTTGGCCTCAAGTAGTCACCCGGTTTCACGGTTCTTGCATGAAATTTGATTTCTAAGGCAGTCATGCTTTGTGAAAATAGAATCATTGCAGTGCCCAGATTCGAAAGACTAGATGGTACTGGGAGTGTTTTCAGGATTGTTGGACGATTTAAATTCCTCTGGAAAATAGCCTTGTAGAAGGGAGCTGCCTGTATGTGGCCTCCATGGGATGGCTTCCCACCAGCATGCAGTCAAGGCCAACTTCTGGCGCCTGCTTGAGAAAGTGAGCTGTTTCCCACGCTCCCCCAGCACAGTGCAGTTGGGATGTTTGTGCTGGGGGAGGTTAGATGTTGAGAGCCTGGCTGCAAGAGCCGCCTTGCCTGACTGCCATCCCTGCAGACTGTCAGTGTATTCTAGAAAAGTCTCACTGTTTCGAAGTGATGGAAAATGTCACTCGAGGAGTTAATAGCCCATGACATTATAAAAAGAGGTGGTTTTAGGGCTGGGGATGTAGTTCAGTTGATAGAGGGCTTGCCTGGTGTGCACAAAGCCTTGTGTTCCATCCCCTCAAACAATATAAACTGAATGTGGTAGTGTATACCTGTGAGGTAAAGGCAGGAGGATCAAAAGTTCAAGGCCTGGAGATTGGGAGTAGAGCTTAGTGAGGGAGTGTCACTTCAGTACATGAGTGTGAAGCCCTAGCATCAACCCCCAGCACTGCAATAAATAAATAAATAGATTGACTAATTAATTAAAAATAAATGATGCTTCTAGTCCTTTACCAGCCTAGGATGGAATCAGCACTACCACCTCCAGCCTTCTTTCCAGGTGCTGGGGAGTGAGAGATCTTGTTTCCAAATCTATAAAGTGGAAAGAAACCTGACCTCTGGCTTCTACATGCCCTCTTAAACACATGAGAGTGACCATATTCTGTAAGAACTAAAAAAGATTCTGAGCTCACTATACCTATCACAACTTAGGCTAGCCTTGAACTCACTAGGTAGCAAAGAATGACCTTGGTATCTTCCAGCCCTCATCTTCCCAGTGCTGTGATTACAGGCATAAACTGCCATGTCCAGGTTACATATTGCTGACAATTGAACCCAAGGCCTACACGCATATGCCACCATGCCTGGTTTATATATTGCTGGCAACTGAACCCAAGGGATTGTGCAGCCAGTCAGGAATTCTTACAGCTGTATCCAAAGTCCTGAGATGACTGACCTTGGAGTCAAGATATTTGGGTCAGAATTCCAGTGATGCCAGTTATACATGGTGACTTTGGACAAGTTAATTACTTAATTTTCCCACTAGAAAAATATGGATACCAGTGACACCTAGCTGGACTTTTTTGTTGGGACCTTTGGCTCCCCAATAATGACACAGAGACTTATTATTAATTATTAAAGCTCAGTGGAAAGCTTTGGCTTGTTTCTAACTAGCTCTTATAATGTAAATCAACCCCTATCTTTTAATTTGCATTCTTTTATATGGTGTGGTTACCTTTACCCTGAATTAGCCATGCTGCTTCCTCTGCATCTCCTGGCATCTTTCTTCCCAGTGTCCTCCCTGCCAGGAAATCCTGCCTGGCTATTGGCCATTCAGCTTTTTATTAAACCAATCAGAGTGACACATCTTCACAGTGTACAAAGAGATTACCTCACAACATCTACCCTTCTAGAGTTTCCCCAAGGATTAGATGCTGCCTGCAATGTGGTGAACTGCTAATACCTGTTAGCTGGTAGTCTAAGCACTAAGCTAGTCACACTGGTTAGTGACACTATGGTAACCATGCAGATTTACTTCTTAATACATTCATTTTATCATCATCTGTGTTATCTTTCTCCTGGACTGTGGGTTCCTTGAAGGTGGGTCTGTATCCAACCCACTCTGGTGCCCATCGTGGTATAACACAGTCCCTGTGTGGAAGGCTTACTGCCTTTGCTGAGTTAGTCATTTGGATAATGCTGACAGTCAACAAAGCACTTTCATTCTCATCATTTTGGTCAGGAGGACTCAGAGGGGAAACTTGAGAAGTTTGAGACACCACCCCATACCATGACAACAGGCACCCTGCAAGCATGTCCTCGGATTCCTGTCTGACATTCCCTCTGCCAGCCGATCTTGTCTAGAAGACAAATGTTGGTCTTGCCAGTTGGGCTCATCTCCTTCTCCCATTGTTTATTTTGTTTACGATGGGCAACTACAATAGTGTCCCGAGGGAGTGGCCACTTCCACCATACCTGATAGCAACAACTAAGGGAGGAAAGACTTACCTTGACTCATGGTTCTAGGGGGCTTTTTTTCTATCATGGTGGAAAAGGTACCATGGAGCCTGGTGAAGCTGCTCAGTCTATGTGATGGCAGCATGTGGCAGAGGCTGTTCACATGGTGGCTGACGTGGGCACAGAGAACAAGGCAGGAGCTAGGAGCTAGGAACTGTTCCTAGAGCTCTACTTCCGTCAAGCATACTCTGTTACTAATGGTTCCACAGTCTCTAAAAATAGGACCACCAGCTGGAAATTGTTTAAAATCAAACCCTAACATTTCCCCTTGATGAGTTCATCTCTGTATTCCCTCTAACCACACTTGGTTCCCTGCAGGTCACTACAAATGGCATCATCGCCATGAGCGAACCCCCAGCCAGAGAATCCCATCCCGGAACCTTCCCACCCAGCTTCGGCTCAGTGGCGCCTTTCCTGGCTGACTTGGACACAACAGATGGCCTGGGGAATGTGTATTATCGAGAAGACTTATCCCCCTCCATCATGCAGATGGCAGCGGAGTATGTCCAGAGAGGCTTCCCGGAGGTCCCTTTCCAGCCCACTAGTGTGGTGGTTGTCACTTGGGAGTCCGTGGCCCCCTATGAAGGGCCCAGTGGGAGCTCTGCCCAGGAAGGCAAGGTGAGTGCATCCCAGATGGAGATGTAGGTATCTGGTGTGTTGACTTCTGAGGCCTTTGGACTTCTGGTTTGTGCTTGTTCCAATGGTCATCATGCCTATGATGTTGCTCAAGACAGGAAGTCTAGAGAAAAATACAGTAAGTTGCTTGTTGCAGGTCAGCAGGTTCCAGATAGGCTGTCTAAATCTGTGAATATCTGATATCAAGAAAGCCAGTTATTTGAGGAGATTGCTCCACAGCAAACATTTGCCTGGGAAATGGTATTCCCTGTGTGCTCCTTCTTTAATTGAGAAAGAATGGGAAGATGGCTTCTAATTATATAGAGAAGTTATTAATAGGAAATGCTAGGCTCTGATATCAAAGTGCTCCTGAGTCAAGTAAAGAATACCCACTAGTAAAGAAGTTGCCATAATAATTCTTATTGGAACAATCCTCCAAACTTTTGGCCATATCTCCTCTTAATCACTATCCCCCAGTAGGTCACATAGCATCCCATGGAAGATGCTTTGGAGAAGTCTGGGACAGGTCTACATATCACACAAGACTTTGCAAAACTGGAAGATCTCCTGGCACAAGAATACTAAGCTCAGGCTAGAAAAATGGCTCAGTGGTTAAGAGTGCTGATTGCTCTTCCAGAGGTCCTGAGTTCAATTCCCAGCAACCACAAGGTGGTTCACAACTATCTATAGTAGGATCTAGTGCCCTTTTCTGGCCTGCAGGCATACATGCAGGCAGAATACTATACAAAATAAATAAATAATACTGTTCTTTAAAAAAAAAAAAAAAAGAATACTGAGCTCTTGACTGCTTCTTGGGTCTAATCCCTCCAACAGTTGTACCAAATGCTTATTATTTGCCTTGAGCATGCCTTTTCTTTCATTCTGGTATGTTTTTAATCCACAATATCTTGCACACACTGTCGTTTGTCCTTGGATGCTCTCCTGTGTGTATGCTCAGGCCCTCCTGTGACCAGCAAGGGCCTCCCCTACCTCCACTCTACCCAGCATGGGTACTTCCTCTTTTGATCTACATGTAGTATGCACCTCTGTTACAGTGTTTTGTCCATATAGCCACCTCTCTAGGTAGACGGTATATTCCCAATTGCAGGGGAATGAGGAGGCATACCTCTGCCTTTCACTGTCCTTTCTACTAGGATAGGAGCCCAGTGAATAGCATCCTTGGAGAGTGTGATTGTATTCTTTGGTAACTGACTTTTAACTTATCTTCACAGAGAAACACGTTCCAGGCTGTGCTGGCCTCCTCAAATTCCAGCTCCTATGCCATTTTCCTTTATCCTGAAGATGGTCTACAGTTCTTTACAACATTCTCGAAGAAGGATGAAAACCAAGTGCCTGCCATGGTTGGCTTCAGCCAAGGCTTAGTGGGATTTCTATGGAGAAGTGATGGAGCCTACAACATATTTGCCAATGACAGGGAATCAATTGAAAATTTGGCCAAGTATGCATATTCCTTACTTGTTTTTCTTTATCAGAAAATATTATTTTTATAATATTATTGTATGTTGTTTTATTGAACACAATGTAATAGGTATTATGTTACCTAAGAATGTTCCTGTAGATTTAAATTTTACATAGAGATATTTAAATGATGAAATAGTATTTTTTTCCTCATGAACTTTAGGGAGTATATTCAGCACAAAGAGATTATTTGTCTGTTTTCATTTTTATTTATGTGTATGAATGTTTTGCACATATATTGTGTTCAGTGCCTGTGAAAACTAGAAGAGAGTATTGGATCCCAGGGACTAAAGTTACAGATGGTTTTGAGCCACCACATGGGTGCTGGGAATTGAACCCAGACCCTCTGGAGGAGTAACGAGCGCTCTTAACTTTTGAGCCATCTCTCCAGCCCCAACAGTTTGTTAATTCAAGTGCACCCTAATGCAAAATTGTCTCTCCCATGTCCCCAGTGAGTCTAAGGTCAGAAATGAAGACAATTCAAACCTGTCTCCTTCTAGGAACCTAAAGAAAGAGTGATTTTCCACCATACTGATTCAGGAACAGTTCTTTACCACACTCATACTCAATGAAGCCTCATTGTAAGGATGTTATAGACTCGATAGAAGAGAGAAATAGCCAAGATTATTGTTTTTGTTTTGCCCCCCCCCCCACCTTGTCCAGGGTTTAGGCTGGCCTTGAACTCAGAGATCGGCCTGCCTCTGCTTCTCAAATGCTGGGATTGAAGGTGTGTGCCACCACCATCTGGCATAGTTACTTCTCACCTTTAAAAACATACAATTTAGAGAGAGAGGGAGAGAGAGAGAGAGAGAGAGAGAGAGAGAGCGAGAGATGTGCACGTACATTCACGTACATTTCAGTTCTGAGGATTGAATGTAGGGCCTTGTGCATGCTAGGCAAGCATTTTTTACCATTAAGCTACATCCCTAGCCCTTAATTTAATTTTCTTAGAGTGACAGTATTTCATAACTGGTTTGGAAAAATTCCCCAAAATTTAACAGCTGACTCTCCTCAAATGTTTTACATAACTTCTGAAAGAATACTTCTGATCACAGATACACAATAGTTATTAAAATGCTGCATCAAGCTGGGCATTGGTGGTGCATGCCTTTAATCTCAGCACTCAGGAAGCAGAGACAGGCAGAACTCTGTGAGTTCAAGGCCAGCCTGGTCTACAAAGCAAATTCCAAGACAGCCAGGGCTAGTAAATAGAGAAACCTGTCTTGAAAAACAAGAACAACAAAAGTTGCTCAATCAAAAATTAGAGGTAGGGTCACTCTGCTGTATTTAGCATATTTAATGCCTCAGGGTTTTGAATCTCAATTGCTTTTCAGAGTGTAGCACTGTTGTCATGAACAGCCCTCTTGGTCAACGCATGCAGGTTTTCCCGCACACCAACCAATTTCTCAATTCTCTGGATACTGGCTAAGTGTCCTATAGTTTAGTTTAGATCAGGTCTGGCACTGACTATCTATCTGGAATCAATGTAGACCCCACAGCTACACAGCCTAGCCCCACAAGGTGCCCCCACCTCAGCTGCCAATGCCCACATCCTACAGTTGTGCCTGTGCTTCTGACCACACAATTATAAATCAATTTTCATGACTCTGTCTATTTTTAGGATCAGTAATTTACTAGAACAGCTCACAGAGCTCAGAAAACCTCCCAATGTTACTGTCCCTGAGTTGCTATAAAGAATCACTTCAGAAGGCTGGACAGATAGATCAGCAATTAAGAGTACTTGTTGATCTTTCAGAAGACCTTAGTTCAGCTACCAGCATCCTCATCTAGTAACTCACAGCCACCTGTAACTCGGGGAGGGGGGTGGGAATCTGATGCTCTCTTTTGTCTACTCTGGGTGCCTGCATGCACATACACTTACAGACACAGACACACATATACATACACATAAATAAATAATAAAAAAAATCTTAAAAAACAAAAACAAAACCACCACAGGACTAGAGAGACAGTTCAGTTGGTAAAGGACCTGAGTAATATTCCCAGAACCCACATAGAAAGCCAAACATGCTGGTCTTATAAATCCAGCACTGGGAGGTTGAGATGGATGGATTCCTAGCATTTTGCCAGCCATCCTTGTCTACTTAGTGACTCCCAGGGCAGTAACAGACCCTGTCTCAAAAAACAAAAAACAAAAAACAAACAAACAAAAAAACAAGGTGGATGGTACATGAAGAATGAGGTGAATTGGAGGTTGAACCCCTATTTGCATATGCACACATGGTGCACATGTGCCTGTACACACAAGCCCCTTTCCTCATGTCCCCCATCTACATACCAAAGAGTGCACTGCAGTGACAGTCAAAGGGGAACGAAGCAGAGGGTAAGGAACGGGGTGAGGTGCTAAACCTACCCACCCCCACTTTGTTGCACCTTCCAGCATCTCCCTTCATTCACCTACACATCAGCTCTCCAAATCCTGCCATTTAGAGTTTATATTGAAGTTGCATAATGTGTGACCTTTGGCCTCATTGACCTTAGGTGATGAACTGCATTAGAAGCCCAGTGTCTTCCTCCCTGTAGATAGGACTAGAGCGGGCTTGGAAGGGACAGAACTTCTTGGTCTTCTGGCCAAGAGGCTCAGTCACTGGTCTTCTCATTAGCACGAAAAGGTCACTTTTGTTTTCTTTTTGGTTTTTTTTTTTTTTTTTTTTTTTTTTTTTTTTGAGCAGGGTTTTCTTTTTTTTCTTTGGGGCACAGGGTTTCTCTGTGTAACTTTGGAGCCTATCCTGGCTCTTGCTCCGGAGACCAGGCTGGCCTCAAACCCACAGAGATCTGCCTGCCTCTACCTCCTGAGTGCTGGGATTAAAGGCGTGTGCCACCAACGCCCGGCTTCTTTTTGTTTTTTTGTGACAGGGTTTCTCTGTATAGCCATGACTGTCCTGGAACTCATTCTGTAGACCAGGCTGGCCTCAAATTCATAGAGATCCACCTGCTTCTGCCTCCTGAGCACTGGGATTAAAGGAGTGCACCACCACTGGTCAGAAAGGTCAGTTTTATTACATTTGAAATTCCAAGGGCAAAGGAGCTCTAGGGTCATGTACCAATCAACTGTATTCTCTTTCTTTCTTTCTTTCTTTCTTTCTTTCTTTCTTTCTTTCTTTATT